CCCCCCCCCCCCCCCGAACGAAAGAAAAACTAAGGCAAAATGAGTGCAATTTTCCAGGAGTCATAATAAAAATACAGTCCTCCAACTCTGCCCACTTTCCTTTCCCTCTCTTGAGTTTTCTGCCCAAAAGACTCGCGTGTTTCGCCCCGATGTGGTGCCGCCTCCATTGTCTCTGTAAAGCAGCCGCGTGAGTGGCTGGGAGCTGTTCAGTGTTCAGAGGTCTTAGTGGCCCGTGCTCGTAAAAATGTCACCGTGCACTTCCACTTTGAAAAGTCCTCTTATCCTGCCTTCCCCCAGCCCCCTCCCGACAGTTAGCCTCCTTGACCAGACGGCTGCTGGTTTGCCTTCCCACCTTGTGGACTGGCCTAACGAGACGTGCGGAACTCTTGGCTCTCGGATTTCAGTCTCCCTATTGCCTCCAAGCTGCTCTTGGGGGGGGCCTACACCAGCTCAAAGGTCCTTTGGCCATGTGTTGCAAGCATGAAGTAATTTAAATAAGTATCTCGAGGTGCAAGCTATTGTCTGTCCTAAGTGGCGGTGTCTTCTAAGCCACCCGAGAAGGTTGACTCTCAGGGGTCCCCACCAACTACTCTCCTATGGAAATAAGAGTCTTTGGGGACGTCAGAGCCAGCTGCTGCTTCCCTCCATCACCCGTTTCGGTCCGCACTTGGCACCACAGAAGGACCCGTGTGAAGTCTAGTCAGCTGCGACACTTGGGGCAGCAGAGGGTGGGTGTTCCAAGTTCATCTTTTTTTTCCGGACAGGGAAGATTTTTCTTCTCCTAATTACACCCGTACTTTTGCCACGGCAAACCACACATGTAGCGAAAAGTCAAATCACTGCAAAGGTGGCCATATCACCACCTTGGGGGGTGGCCAGTCAGGGCCATGCCAAGAAGAGAGAACTCTCCACCTACTAGACATGTGAGAAAACCATCATGCGGAGCATGTGAGAGCCACATCACTTCCAGAAGTTCGAGGAGTGAGTCTCCCACTCTCTGACCCTCTAGTTATATACCCAGTACTAACTGACAGCCACCAGTAGAGGAATTTCAAGGTCAGCGGAAAGACACATGAATAAAACGACTCTCCGTGTTGTGTTAAGAACGGTTAAGTAAAGGAAACAATATGAGGGACCATCATTTTCAGCTGAGTTGTGTCTCAGGGATTTAAATAAACCACTCACATATCGGGAGCTTCAAGAGCTCAAATCAAGCAAAGTTTCTGGGAATGTTTTGAAAAGCTGATCACATTCCATCTACTACAAGGTCTTTGTAAGTTCATGGCCTGAAAATTCTATTTCCTTCCGGATCTGACAGTACTGTGGGTTCCAGATGATATAGAAAAATCGAGCAGTTAGAAATGGAATAATTACAGCTAAATCCAGGAGGTTTTCCAGCTTGACGGAGTTCTAGTAATTTGTTAACCAGAAGAAGAGGGAATAAAATCTACCTGCCAGCTTTTATGCTGTGGTCTGTTTCAGAGCGGTACTCTTAAGTTCACACCTCATGTCATCATGAGAAGTGAGTCATTTGGGGACGGATGAGGAGTGTATCTGCCTAACAACTTAGTGACTTTCTGGAATTTAAATATTAAGTGAAAAGACAAGGTCATAGGGCAGCCGAACCTTGGCTTGTCTCTCTTTCGGCTGTCCGTGGCTTTGATCACGCTACATCCTCCTTTGTGGCCAGGGCTCCGTAGAGAATCTCAGGGTCATGGCCTGTTGCCTATCAAGAGGTATAAACCTGCCGCTTAAATATGTGAAGCCCTCAGTCTGGGGGTTGGGAGCAGGGGAGGTAGCTTCATACGCTCCACATTTCCCACATAACCCGAAGCAGACTAAACAAAACCGGTGTGAAATCTCATGACTTGATGCTGCTGCGGTTATATTTTTTAAGCTGTAATCCATTCATTTGTAGGTGTGTTTATTCCCAGGATTTACAGCTTTCTCGGTCTTTGGGGGAAGAGAATGTTTGAAACCTTTCGCAAAGGGTTTGCAGTGAGCAGTGATCTGTGATTAAAGCCCAGGATGGAGAGACAGAGAGAGAGAGAGAGAGAGAACACGTGCACGCACACATGCATTCATGTGAGTGTGTGAGTGCCCGTTGGTGTGGGCTTTTTTTCCTCCCGTTTGCTGCTCTTACGCAAAAGCGTCACACCTGGTAGCATTTAGGAGCTCCTTCACAGCTGAAGTGTTTCAAACACTAATGAATGGAAGTTTGGTCATATAACGCAGACAAGCTTTAAGGCACGCTTTACTGAATGGTGCACTGTAGTGACCTGGGAAAGGAAGAGGGGTATAAATTGTGTCAGTTAGCCACCCAGACAAAATGAAGCCATGTGGAAAATCAAATCTATTAAAGTATGAAGACTGTTATAAGCTGTTCTAAGCTGGCCATTCTTAAAGGGGCTCTGTTTGCTGCCGGAGTAAATGTTTATCTCTTCTCCCGGATCTTTTTCACATGCCGTCTGAGGAGACAATGTGCAGTATTTGATAAAAAATCATCCTCTCACTAACGACGCTTTTATCAGAAATGTTTATTGTCTCCGCTTTACCACCCATGTCCCGAAAGGTACTTGCACGTTTGTTAAATAAGCAAAGGGAAAGAGAACCGTGTGCGGCTTAAGCCAGCTTGCAGAAACTCCCAACAAATTCCAGAGCCATGGGGAATCAGAAAAAAAGAAAGGAGGAGGAAGAATTAGATTTATATGGAGAGGAGGTCCTGCAAAAACACACATATTAGATTTTCTCTGCTTGGCCGGCCCACCATTAAGTGTTCGGTTGATGTGGACTTAGTATTGACATTCAGCAGTCATGCCAAACTTTGGTCATTGTCTTAAAATGTGCTTTAATAAATACAAGAATGAGGAACTCGATTTGGAGAGGCAGTTAGTAGTCAGCTCTTGCAACCCTTCTCCAAGCTCGTTTCTGTGCTCACACTGCCTCTGCCCCGTGGCGGTGGCGTCCTGGTCACGCACAGGTTCTGGTGCCCGTCTGCCCCGCCCAATTCCCGGCCCTACTCCCTCCGTAGCTTTGGGTACACCGCTTTCCATGCCTTGACTTTTTTGTCTATAAAATGGGGACAGGGGCGCCTTGGTGGCGCAGTCGGTTAAGCGTCCGACTTCAGCCAGGTCACGATCTCGCGGTCCGTGAGTTCGAGCCCCGCGTCAGGCTCTGGGCTGATGGCTCGGAGCCTGGAACCTGTTTCCGATTCTGTGTCTCCCTCTCTCTCTGCCCCTCCCCCGTTCATGCTCTGTCTCTCTCTGTCCCAAAAATAATAAATAAACGTTGAAAAAAAAAATGGGGACAATAACAAACAATCCCCGAGAGCCTCTAGTAAGCCTCGTGGACGTATCAGCTATTACTACCAGTATCTGAAGGACAGGTTCATTTGAGTCTTAAGAAAGGATTTCCCTTGACTTGGGTTCTTTTCTTTCTTGTGCGCCGGGTTTGTAAAACTGGTGACCGGCACGCTGTCGGGAAAAATTTATCCATTTCTTTTTTACTCTGATTGGTGAGTGAGCTTACATTGGCCTGACATTCTCTGGACTGCACACAATTGAATTTGCTGACCAGCCGCCATGATGTCAAGCCTTAAGTCAACAGGGGCTAAATGACTCTGCTCTGGGAAAAAACAACACCTTGATTCCTCAATTACAGTTTAAGAAGCCCTGGGAATGAGGGCTTGCCAAGCGTCCGCATCCTCTTTTGCAGCCAACAGAACGTGCTGTGGAGACAGGTCGTCTCTGAACCGTGGGCGAAGAAGAGCCCACACTAATGGTTGTGCCCTTTGTGTGTTCCAGGAGGAGACTGAAGAGACATCCTCACAAGAGTCTGCAGAAGAGGATTAGGGGGCGCCAACATTCGATTTCTACCTCAGCAGCAGTTGGATCTTTTGAAGGGAGAAGACACTGCAGTGACCACTTTCTCTATTCCCATGGTCTTTCCACTTTCATCTGGGGGGGGGTGGGGGGGTGGGGGGCAGGGGGTGGGGCGGGAGCAGGGTGGGGGGCGGGCGGGGAGAAATCACATAACCTTCAAAAGGACTATATTAATCACCTTCACAGTCCCAGGTTTAGTGAAAAACTGCTGTAAACACAGGGGACACAGTTTAACAATGCAATTTTTAATTACTGTTTTCTTTTTTTCTTAACCTACTAATAGTTTGTTGAACTGATAAGCAGGAGCGGGTGGGTGAGAAAAACTCCGAATCGGGTTTAGTCGAGCATGCACTGCACACAGACCAGAGAGCGTCAGGCTCCTGACGTGGGGCGCTCCCCACCCCGGGAAAGGCGCAGTGTTCAACACTGTGTACCGCTCGGCCACCGCCCGACCCGCTCGCCGTAGTGAAGCTTCTGTTTAGAACACCAAAGATAGGACTAGATACTACTTCTCTCTTTTTCGTATAATCTTGTAGACACTTACTTGATGGTATTTTAACTTGTAGTTCCAAACGAGACGAAACGCTGATGTATCCTTTCATCCAGCTAACAAACCAGAAAAAAAAAAGGTTATGTTCCTGTCTCAAAAAGGGAAGTCAGCAAACAGATATTGCCAACGCCTCTATTTATGGATCTCACACATATCAGCGGGAGTGATACATTTACCCACGGCGCTCGCTTTCAGGAAAACGCCCATCCGTATAGAACCTACTTCCTACAGAGCCAAATGCCACTGAGCAATAAATCACACTTGTTAGCTTCAAAGCATTTAAGGAACCTAGACAAGTCAAATTATCCTCTTTGTAATTTACTGCAAAGGTACAACAGAGTAACATACGATGAACCCGCCCGAATGACGATGGGGTGGGAGGAGCGAGATCTAAATTTCTTTTGCTGTAGTTATAGGACAGTTGAAAAAAAAAAACAAGCAGTCCCTCTCTGTCTCTCTGTCTCTCTGTCTCTCTCCATTATGTATCCGTTTCCGTGAAAGACCTAAATACCACTTACCTCAAATTAAGCGTACGTATTACTTCAAGTAATACGTTTTGACATAGGATGGTTGACTGAGGTGCTTTACTTCGGCTTCAGCCCACCGTCTCTTCATTCAAACTGCACTTTTAGCCAGAGATGCAATAATATATCCCCACTACTCAATACTACCTCTGAATGTTACAATTAATTTACAGTCTAGTACTTATTACATGCTGCTATACACAAGCAATGCAAGAAGAAAAAATAACCTAATGGGTAGGTGATGCTAATCATCTGTGGTTCTTTTTGTACACTTCATTACAGTTTAAGAAGCAGTCTCCTTACTGTGTTTTCAGCATGGCTATGTATTTTTCTATTTTTTTTTTTAATTAAAATTTTACAAATACTTGTTTCAGCTTCTCTGCTAGATTTCTACATGAACTTGAATTTTTTTTTTTTTTTAACCAAGTCGCTCCTAGGTTCTTAAGGATCATTTTCCTCAATCACACTACACGCCACACAAAATTTGACTGTAACATTTGAATCTTACCCTCCACGTTTGTACCTCAAATGAATTGTTTAAGGAAATGGACTAATTGACTTGCAAAGACCTACCTCCAGACTTCAAAAGGAAGGAACTTGTGACTTGCAGCATCCATGTGTGTCAGGGTTTGATGTTGTTCAAACCGCAGCGATCCCGAGTCCAAACTATTTTTGTAAAAGACGTTTGATAGAAAGGAACACATTTTTACATACTTTTGGCAAAGAAAGAAAGAAAATAAAGCCAACCTTCAAAGAAACTTGAAGCTTTGTAGGTGTGATGCGACAAGCCCAGCTTTTGCATGATGCAATCAAAAAATCTATGTTTTTTTCAGATTGGTTGAATATGAGAAAATGCTTGACAGATATTTTCATGTATTTTACACAAATGTGATTTTTGTAATATGTCTCCACCAGATTTATTTTAAACGCTTCTTATGTAGAGTTTTTTATTGCTTTCTCTCCTAGTGAGTGTGCTGACTTTTTAACATGGTATTATCAACTGGGCCAGGAGGTAGTTTCTCATGATGGCTTGTGTCAGTCTGGCTTTTAGTACTGAAGCCAAATGAAACTCAAAACCATCTCTCTTACAGCCACTTCGGGGAGGTCGTTTCAGAGGCCACACACCTCTCGGAGACTGGCAGATGGCTCACTGTTGTGAATCACCAAAGGAGCTACGGAGAGACTTAAAACTCAACCTTACTGTTAACTGTGCATTAAATAAGCAAATAAGCAGTGGCTCCTAAAAATAAAAGTCCCATCCCGTATCTTTGGTTGGGCCTTTCGAAACCTCATTGGCCAGCTCGTAAAACTGAAGCAAGTTGCTCATGTTGGCCAAACTCGGAGCACCGAGCGATTTCCATCTCTGATGAAGTTACTCTTTTGTTTCCTATACGTTGTACAATCAAAACACACGACTACCTCTTAAGCCCCAGTATACCTCATTTTTCATACTGAAAAAAAAAAAAGCTTGTGGCCAATGGAACAGTAAGAACATCATAAAATTTTTATATATATAGTTTATTTTTGTGGGAGATAAATTTTATAGGACTGTTCTTTGCTGTTGTTGGTCTCGGCTAAGTAAGACTGGACATTTAACTTTTCTACCATTTCTGCAAGTTAGGTATGTTTGCAGGAGAAAAGTATCAAGACGTTTAACTGCAGTTGACTTTCTCCCTGTTCCTCTGAGCGTCTTCTAACTTGATTCTTTGTTCTTCATGTAGAGTTGCTGTCTATGATTGTACTTTGAATCGCTTGCTTGTTGAAAATATTTCTCTAGTGGATTATCACTGTCTGTTCTACACAATAAACATAACAGCCTCTGTGATCCCCATGTGTTTTGATTCCTACGCTTTGTCATAACTCCATTAAATGAGTAATAAAGTTTGGTCAAAACAGGTCATGGAGAGAGACATTCACGAGTCATTTTGTCGCACCCCCTGCACATTGTGGGCCCACGCCTCTACGTACCCTGACCTAACGTTTTAAAGTACTGTGCTGCTTAAATCAACTGCCCTAGATTCGCCTTTCACGGTCTGGCATTTAATCCTACAAAGATGACCTTAGAATTAATGTAAAGGAAGATTAGGCTGTAGGTTAAAACTGGAGAATCTCTCCTGAAGGCTGGCGTCTACGATGTTGGTAAGGGAAGTGGGTGATGATATCCTCGGTTTCTTTCAAGTGTCGGTTGCAGAGCGTGCCAAAAGTTGTTGGGTGAAGAGAGTAAGACGTGAAAAGACACCGAGTGTCTCTGGATAGGAGTCTCTTACTTTATAAGAACCAGAAGCAGGGTCAGAATTATTCCACCAAGTTCAAGATCCCCTTTACATCTCAATTGCTGATTATGAATACATCCAGGAGTGTTCCAAGGCTAAAATCTTCTGGTTTATGCTGTCACCACTGTCACTAAAACCCTTCCTTTAGATTCTTTGGAAGGACTTACCCTTAAACATCTCCTGTTGGGGAATTTATTGTCAAATTTATGACTTGACTCCTTTCATTTATTTTCACAGCCAGTATTCTCTGAGTGCCTACTTTGTGCTAAGCCCCAGACCAAGAGACCTTCAAAAGATCATCTTCCTTAGAGAAAACTATGCAGGTAGAGAAATACAGGCAGCATGTGAAAAGAACCAAACACATTGCTTAGGCAACAAATGGCCAGAATTCGGAGGAGGCAAAGCCATTTCCCCGCTTGAGTGGATCATTAGTTCAGCCTATTAATAGACCAAATGTATTTACTATAACCCATATTTAGTCTCTTCATTTTTATTAACATACAAAAGCACATAAGAAGAAATTACTTCTGGAAAATGAAAACAAATAAACCAACAGAGAATCTTTGGCTTGAAAAAGAAAGAATAAGACGAGGCATGTTATGTCCGGAATAGAATAAGGAGATGAATAGGATAAACTTTTTACCGTATTGTAGAGTCGAAACTCACTAAACGACTTCTGAATCAGGTTTCCCTTTTCATTTTAGAAAAATTAAACTATTGCTTACACGCAATAAGCATTACACTTAACGAAAATTATTATGTGAAGAAACATTTTAGGTTTAAACCTAAGTTCAAGGAGGGTGTCCAAAAAAAATCAGCCAATGCATTCAAATAACAGTGGAGTCCCTAGTATGTGCTAGATATTGTTTGGGATAATAAAGGTAGAGGACATTTCATCCCTGCCCATCAAGAGCCACAACTTTTCATGAGGGACTTGGACCCAACGGGGAGCTGTGTAACTAGGATGTTCCCGAGTTACCCTGCAGGTGGTTGGAGGCATCCTGAACCCCCTGCTAATGACAGGGATGAATCGCTGGCCGTCTCACAAGAGGGCTGTTGCATCACCAACAGGGAGGGATCCTGTGCGATACCGACAATGAGTCTCAGCCAGCGTAGCATTCCATATGTGTGCGGGGAGGGGAGGTGTTGTTCAGCAGGGTTAGGTACTCGACTCTTGGATGAATTCAGGAATGGTAAGTGGTTTAGAAGTATGAGAAGTAATAAAAACAAATAAGGGGCGCCTGAGTGGCTCAGTCAGTCAAGTGTCTGACTCGATTTTGGCTCAGGTCACAATCTCATGGTGTGTGAGTTCAAGCCTCAAGTATGGGATTCTCTCTCACCCTCTCTCTCTGCCCCTCCCCCACTTGTGTGCGCGCGCGCGCGCACGCGCGAGCGCGCTCTCTCTCTCAAAAACATAAACTTAAAAAAATAACAGCTCAAGAATGAACGACAGTGCCGTCAGTGTGGCAGGATGCAGACCCATACTACAGATTAGTGAATGAGCCTTCAGAAAAGTGAAACAATAGGAAGCTCAAAAGTGGAGAAGAGGGCAAAATGGGCTTGCTTCTCATCAAGCTTTATTTCCATAAGATGACTTTTTATTGAACAAGACTAGTTCTTAGAGTCAGGTAGGGTCCTCCTTGAGCAGTTACTCCTCAGATCTAGGAAATCTGGCCTACAGGGGGAAGAGAAGTTGAAAAGAACCAAAATCCCTTGTGAAATATGGAGT